AGGGGAGGGGGCGTCGGGGAAGGCAATACAGTGCGACAGAGTGGGGGGCGGGGGTGAATAGAAACTTGATTGTGATTGTTTCTCGCACACTCCCCTGGCGGGCGGGTTCTGTCGAGTGCCGTGAGTGAGTCAGCCCCAGCCCCACCCTCTTTCCCCCAGCAGCACCAGTACCAGGACACAGATGTAGGTCCGGGGCCTGGGGAAGGGCTGACGCACAACGTCCAGGGCGCGGCAGAGCGCGGCGGGGGGCGCGGCGTAGTGAATCTGCCAACAAGTTGGCACACATTTGTCCTCTGGACGAGGACCAGGGACAGGGCGCCGGCGGCGGAACTGGGCCGCGACCGACGCGTAAAAAGGAAAGGGGTGTGCCGCCTCAGCAGCTGCTGAGAGGGAGAGGGAGAGTGAGCGGGAGGGAGGGAGGGCTTGCAGAGAGAGTGAGAGAGAAGGGGGGAGGGGGAGAGAGTAGCCCCGAGCACCGCAGTCAGCAGCACTGGGGCTGCGGGCTGGGTACGCCCTCCGCCGGGTCCCGGCCGAGCAGCGCGGGTGCGGATGGTTATTTGCAGGGGGCGGGCGGAGGCGGCGCGGTCCCTTTGCCAGCGCGCGTCAGGCGCCGGGTGTTCTTCTGGAACTGGACATTAATGCAATGGGGGCAGCCAGCAGCACCCCGCACGTGGACGACAACGGCGAGGGCCGGCAGTGGGTCAAGGCGGGCCCGCCCTCGTCATCGTGCACATCACTTGTCCCGCACAGGCGCCCGGGCGGCCCGCGGCCCCCGCCTCCGCTGTCCCTCCACCAGCCTCCTTAGGCGGCGTCCTCGACGCGGGCTTCGCTGGCGCCCGGCAGCAGTACCCGCTAGGGACGCCGAAGTATGACGCGGTAACGTCGGGTTTGACCTTTAGAGGTGCAGGAATTCCGAGCCAAAGTTTTGTTGTTCAACCTCGTTCAACATGTTATTGTGAAGGAGCGCCCGTGTTTCCTTGGGGCGCACTTTTCCTCGGGCCCGCGTTCATCTCTGGGACGGGAGTGGCGGACGAGGGGGGGGGGGAGTGATACTGCTCGTGCTCCAAGAGCGCCCCCCATTAGAAGGCAGCGGGCGCCGCGTCTGGTTTGAGAGACAAGTCCATTCTCCTGAAGTAAGTGAAGTCGCTGCCTGCGTGCGTCGGGCCGTTTCGTCTGTCCATCCGCCTCGCCTCCGCAGCAGCTGACTGTTCTCTAGGTCCACGCGCTCGCGCTATGTGAGTTAACTCTGTGTGTGTGTGTGTACGTGCTCTAGCTCGTGTGTGTGTGTGTGCGTGTGCGTGGCACTACTTGGAGTTACTCCACCGCGCCCCCGCTACTACTAAATTATTCACCGGTTTGGAGTGCATTCGGGCCGCTGGCCTCCGTATCCACCTCGGCGAGGAGGCAGTGCGGCGGGTTTACTCCTCAAACCTCCCCGTGTGCCGAAAACCGCATTCGTCACACGCCGTCGAGGTCGTGGAGGAGTGGGATTGGGGGGTAGGGGGGTAAACGGGTTTACTATTTGAAATAAGTCAGGAGTGATTCTTTGTTAAATTTCGGAACTCACAAATGAAAGGTACTCATTAAATTTGCTAATCTACTAGCACAATATTATGGTGCAGTCCGATCGTTTCCAAACTGGGTTTACGGCTTCCTTTTACGGCCTTTTACATTGTTGAATTAATCATCAGTTTCATCGGAACGTAGTTTTAAATGGTCTCCGCTGTATCTTTCCCTGTGCTCTGCTGCTCTGCCGGCCCTTGCGTCTGTCGCCCCCCACTCGCATTCAGTTTGCGAAGAAGGACAGAGAGAAGGGGGGGGGGGGACTTAACGCTTACGCTTGCAAAGTCTTCTTGCCCGGGACTTAAATTTAGAGTCGTGGGTGCCGTGCCGTATGTGGGAATCCGTTTGAGATGCGAATGTGTGAGTGTGTGTGTGAGCGTGATGCTGTGACCGAGAGGGAAAGCGAAAGGAGCGATTCGAGACTTTCGCAGTGATGATGACGCAGCAACAGCGACGTAAAACAAATTTTAAATTTATTTTCGTTCACATGTACTTACACATTCAGACACACAAAGTAGGCTACATATTATATATATACGACATAGACTCCACAACGCCGCTGTACAATAACGATACAGATTTTGTTATTAACGCCTTACACAAACACAGCCAAAAGTCGGGAATGAGGGGCAGCTTGGTCGGGAGCGGACG